GACGGTCAAGCCTCTGATTGCCCGGCTCATCAGTACCGTGATTTTTCTGAGTCTCTTAACTTTGAGAACAAGTCCGATCAGAACCGAGCCGCAAGTTTCGAGTCACTGGCAGGCCGGGCTACCGTGATAGTACGGCGAGCAGGCTCACTGAGTCAACAGCCCGATTCCTCCAGGTTCGCAGACTCGGAGATAAGCGGCCGCACAGCGAACATCGCCGGGACCGTGACGGGCGGCCCGGCCCGGCCGGGCGGGGCCCGGGGGCCCGGCTCTGAGTGAGAGGCCCCCGAGACTGAAAAAGTTGCATGCCATGCCGGAGTGCCATTCAAGTACCACACCCCTCCTGACGACCGGGGATACAGGGGTGATGATGGAGGGGGTAGGCCCGGGCTAAAAAAAAAGGAGCGGCAGGATCACACGGTCGAAGGGGGTAGGGGTAACACGGCAGGGGTGGTCACTGTCATTCAGTAGTAATAAGGGGGGTGTGGGGGTGAAGACATTAAAATTGTATTTCGGTCGTGGGGTCGGGTGGTCTCTCCCATTCAATGTTCGGACGGTTTCCCGCTTTCTCCTCTGCTATGCTGATGCTCCGCCGCAAGTCTCCTCCTGCTCCTGCTCCTGCTCCTGCTCCTGCTCCTGATCCTGATCCTGATCCTGCTCCTGCTCCACCACCACCACCACCTCCGCCTGCTCCTCCTCCTCCGCCTCCTCCTCCGCCTCCTCATCTTGCTCGCATTATGACACTTGACCTCCTTGCACTTGACAACCTCACTTACCCTCAGCTCTTGTCATACGGCATGTCGCCCGCCTACAATCGTTGCCCATCTCATATCTACTACCTCCCTTTCTGCCTCGTCTCGTATTATATTCCTCCCTCAATTCTTTCATTGTGGCTCTCGTTCTTCGAATTCCCCTTGATGCTCTACACTCCTATGTTCTTCAGCACTTACCTTGCTCCTCTCGTTTTCCTTTACATTCCCTTCTCGCTTCGACTGCTCGTCCCTTTTTCTCTCCTCATTCCGCATTTCTGCATTCATTGATATTGACGTAGGAATGATCGGGTCTCCTTGCCTTCAGTTCTTCGAGTTCAACCTATGACACTCTGAGGTTGCTACAAGGGAAGACCGTATTACTCGTGGAATCGTCAAGTTCGGCTTCTCCTGCTTCATTTCAGTAGAGGGCTTGTCTCGAGGAGATCTCTAGAGCTGTCATAACTTCTCCGACATGTCTGTCTTCAGGAACGCGTCCATGGAGCCCATGGTTCCGAGGAGGATGCTGGAGGAAGCAAACAAGGGGTTGCATCGGCTGAAGAAGAAGTTAGAAGAGCAGAATGCTCTGAACAGGAAAGAGATGGAAGATGCACTGCGATCGATGCAGTATCAGATAAGGACGTTGCAGACTCAAGCAAGAACCTCTGAAGAACAGCTGAAGAGAGCTCTTGCACGTGAGAAAGATCTTCGAGGCCAACTCACTCACCAGGACGTGGATGATGTGTTCTTCAAACTCCGCAAAGAGACTGAAGATTTGAGGAGAGAAAACGATGCTCTAAGGCAGATCGAGATTGAGTACGCTACCTTCAAAGCAAGTTCTCAGGATCAATCAGCTGAGATAGAATTTCTGAAAGAAAAGTTACGCAGAGTACAAAGCGATAGCTCATCCCGATTAGAAATGTTGCAACATGAGAAAGAGAGGCTTGTGCAGACCTCAATAGCTGATCAAGAGCAGATGAAATCAGAATTTTTACGGTTACAGTCAGAGTTGGAAGGAAAGTTGCTGAGTCTAGAGCGGAAGAATGAAGAATTGACAGCAGACCAAAATGGAAGATCGCGGGAGTCAATGGAAACAGAGATTTTGAGGCTGAAGAATGATGTCGACAAGATGAAACAAACCTTGGTCAACACTGAGATAGAGAAGAACATTCTGAACGAGAAGTATGAGGAGGCAATGTCGAAGTACAAGGATCTTGAAAACAAGTCTGAAGGATTGAAAACGTCCAATACTGCATTGAAGGAAGAGTTGTTGTCGAGAGAAGAAGACTTGAAGTCTATGGAAAGCGTCTTGAATGAATCCCATGAGACTTCTCGGAAGGAAGAGGACGAATATTGCAGGCAGATTGCGGAGCTGACAAGGAAGCTCTCGAGCAACTCGCTGGAACTTCAAAGGGCTGAAGCTGACGCTGTCTCTCTTCGCGAGCAACTGAACCAGGAGATAAAGAATTCAGAGAATGAGAAGAAGCATCTCCGTGAATCTCTGCGTGAAGAGCGAGAAAGATACGAGAGGCTGCAGGAGGAGAACTCTAGAACAATCTTTCAGATCACTCAAGCCCATGAACGTACTGAGTTCGCATCAAAAAGAAGAGAAAGTGAACTGCAATCGAGGATTGAAAATTTATTGAACGAGCTCAGTGAAATGAAGCTCAAGAAAGTTCCAGATCGCGAGACGATGCACAGCTTGGAGGACAGCAACAAAGAGCAGGAAGTGCTGCGGAACGCTGCTCAGAAGAGCATGAGGTTCATGGAAGGTTTCATGGAGGGATGTTGTATTGCAGAAGTGAGGCTTGAAAATTCAATCAAGGACATTGAGTACACCTTGACTGATCTCGGTCGCAAAGCCCAAGAGATCATGAAGAAGCTACATGTGGCACAATTCAAGGAAAGGCTAGAAAGGTCTCAGAAGCTCGTGGTGCAGGATCAGCTCAAACTCTGCCTGCAAGACTCGCAGTCTGTCTTCCAGTCGCTCTCGTCACAAGACAAGCCTGAGGTGTCAGCAGTCTCAAGCAAAGTTGCGGCCGTAGCGCTGGAGTGCCTCGACCGGATGAGGGCAAGTCAAGAGGATTCGACAAACTCCACGAGCCGCTCGCTCTCAGCTCCTCCCCTCACCAGGTCCAACACAGCCATCGGCCTGATCCTCGATGGCAGGAAAGTCGGTTCCATTGTACCGGGTAGCCCGGCCTTTGCGTGTGGACAGATAGAACCAGGAGACGAGATCCTGATGGTGAACGGACAAGCCGTGACTGCTGAGGACGTCATGGGGATGCTGCGAGGAGACGACAGCAACGCGTCCATTGTCGAGATTGTCTTGACCAAAGTTGATGGGACGAACGAGAAGGTTGTTCTCCCAAAGGTCAGCGTGAGCCTTGTCATCAACAGGCAGAACCTCAACCAGTCCCTGACTGACGTCCAAGAGATTCTCATCAGGATGTTCAACGACTCCGAGAACGTGGAGGCTATTCAGTCGCTAGAGAAACTCTCTTTGGCTGTTCGAGAGATGGACAGGCTCAACTTCGAGGTGGAGATGCAGCAAAGCAACGTCATATCGAGGTACAAGGAGAGCAACGAGCGAATGATCGCGTTTGCCAAGAGCTGTCTGCTCCACCTCGACTCCACTCATCAGAAGATCCACGACTTTGAGTTCGAGCTTGAACAACAGCTGCAGTCTGCGTGTATGTCTTTCTTCTCCAGCAGCTCTCCGTCAAAGTGGGACGAAATGGACAAAGAGAGAGTCCAACGGCTCCAGAGCCTGTCAAGAAATCTGCAGGACGAGGTGAGCAAGTATCAAATCCAGATGATGGAGCTCGAGCAAGACCTGGAGATGGCGAGGGAGAGGGTGAACCGACAAGACAAGGAGATGCAGGTCTTCCTGTCGGCCCAGAACAACTTGAAGGGTAAAATCTCCCAGCTGCAGAACAGACTGTACGAGAAGGAGAATGAGTTCTCGATGATCCCCTGCGCTGTCCGCCTTGATCTCGAGATCAACTACTCGGACATCATCTCCGACGAGGAATCCAAGGCCGTCTTCTCCTCCCAGCTCATCGATGATCTCTCCTACGATCTCAACGTCTCTAGAGCGTGTTTTGACATCGTCTGCTTCTACAGGAGCGCGGGAACGTATGCCCTGCTCAAGATCGCCGGAGAGACCAGTTTCTCCCCTGACGTCTCGTCGCTGTCCGGCCTTGACCTTGCCCACACTCTCGCAAAGAACGTCGATACCTACGGCTCGAAGATCCGCTCGGGCTCAGCTGGGAAGTTCATAAGGGAGGTGGAGGTCCACGGACCTGTCACGGACCTCACGGCGAGGGCTGTTCGCGCCTGCTTGCTGGACATGGAGGGAGAGATCTCCCGCGCAGCCGAAGACCTCAAGAAGAGCTCCGACAAGATGGCAGAGCTGCAGGCGGCGCATCGGGCGCAGCTGAAGCAGGAGGAGAAGATCAGAGAAGAGATCGTCGCAGACTGTGAGAAGCGCGTGAGAGCTGCTTCTGTGTCCTACCAGGAGCAGCTGTCGAAAGCTCTAGAGCGGGAGAAGGAAGACTGGGACAGGAGGTCAAACCTGACGGTATCCAGTCTCCAGGCCCAGATGGAGAAGGAGAAGGCAAGCCAGGAGCAGAAACAAGCCGAGACTGACAAGCACATGAGGAGCTTCAAGAACGAGATCGGAGATCTGCGAGCTCAGAAGGCCGAGCTCGAGAACAAGATCGCAAACCTCCACAACAGCCTTGAGGAGGAGAAGGAGCGGGTGGAAATGGCGAGGGACTCGCACGAGAAGCTCAAGGAGGGTTGCAAGAAAGTGGACGAGATCCTGCTGCCTGAGTTCAGCAGCTGCCTGCTGACTTTGAACAACATCAGCAGCGAGATCAGCTTCTTCCACTCTCACTGCATCCGCGCAGTCTCACTGTCTGGACATCACGATGCTGGATCGAAGCAGCTCGCAGACGCTCAGAAGAGCAAGGACATGATTGACAAGGACGTCAACGTCCTGCGACTGCAGCTAGAGGCGCTGTCGCACTTCTCCTACGAAGATCCGTTCCAGCTTGCCAAGGAGATCGAGGAGACGGTGAACTTTGTGGGGGAGGGCAAGAAGGATGAGGGGAGAAGGAGAAGATTTCTGGTGGAGAACGGAGCATTCTGAATGAGTTTTGAGATTTTCAATGAAAAAATTCACAACATGGAGATGACTTGTCTGTACAAATTTACATCAAAAGATGAGGGGAGGCGAGGAGTGACGGGTCAATCGTCCCAGATCTCCGTCATGACTGATACCTGGAGCAGGAGGCGTGAGGTGGCAAAGGGAGGAGGAGAGGAGGAACCAGTGTGGCGAGGGGGATGGGCTTGGGGAAGGGAGTTGAGTGGACGATGTGCTGCTCAATCTCCTCGAAACTCAATCCTGCAGGAGAAATCAGCCGTCTCTGTTCAGGGGAGAGGGCGGAAAGAAGCATAGAAACAAAGGATATGAGCAGCAGGAGGGGCAGGGGCAGGGGAAGAGGCAAGGGCAGAGGCGCTAGGGGAGGGGAAGGAAGTGGTGAATGTGTGTGGTTGAGAATTCACCTGACGATCGCGCTGCTTGTCTCTTCATCTTCAACTTTTCCTCACGCTTGGTAGCCTGACAAGCGAAATGTGAAATCGAGAAAGAGAAGAGAAGAGAAGAGAAGAGAAGAGAAGAGAAGAGAAGAGAAGAGAAGAGAAGAGAAGGGTTTAGGGTCTAGGGTTTAAGGCCTGAAAATGAGTTGGGTAACGTGAGTAGGAAGATCAGTGAAAGTGGGGACAGAGAGGGAAGACAGTTAATCACCTCAAGCTGAAGATCGAATTCACTTGATTTCCTCAACCATTCCTTTCTTATGTCAACCCACTTCCTCTCCTCTGAAGAACATCTCCATCAGCCTTTCAAAGCAAACGCCCTCCCTTACCGTCTGTTGCGTCCATGAGGAGTTTGCTGTAATATTCCTGTTCTCGCCCTGGTAATCTACCAATCGACATTATCACTTAAGCTCCTCTCAGAGTTCTCATCTAGCATTATCGACCGAAATTATCCAAAGATGCAGTTACTCTAACCTCACCTCCACTTCAAAAATCCTCTTCCTCCTCTTCCTCCTCTTGAACCCCCAGCCTAACACAAATACACACCTCCTCTCTCTAACTGTATGAAATATCATGTTGTCCTAGTTTGTTTCTCCCTTCTATGCTCCTCTCGCCTTCCGTCTACCGCTCACAGACCCACGTGTTCGGCCTCCTACTGTTCCACAGCACATCCACCGGCCATGGTCCTGCTTCTCTATCTCATCTTCACCTCCCGCTTTCAGCTCTTTCTTGATCTTCTTCTTCCTTCCCATCCTACATCGTCTGCCCCCCTTCTCCCTCCTTCCTTCGCTTCCTCCTCCATTGCCGCACCGTTCACTGTGCTCACACCATAATTTGATTGCGGGCTCGCCTCCGAGTCGGTCAGCAGGCCTAGGCCCGGGCCGGCGCCCTGACGCCGGCGCGGGCCGACATTTATCTGAACTTTTTTAATAAGCTCCTGTGCGCAGTTAAGTAAAGGTATCAGTTAAGTTTGGGGGACAGCAGTCGGCAGCATAAGGGTTGGCTCTCACTGTCTTTTCTCTTCTCGCCATCAGAGTCACCAAGCCTCCCCTACTGTTCTCGTACTGATTTTTAACTTAACTTTGAGTAAAAGGTAACGTGAAATGTCTTTGCGGCAGCTAGCTCAAAAACAATGAAGTAAACTTTTACTCACTACAAAATTAAAATAAAGATGACATAAATTTGTTTTAAAAGGGCTACAACTTTTAACTGTGGTACAATATCAACTATAAATATAGTTATAGCGTGTTTCTTATATTATTATAAGTTCCTTCCATTCGACGCCTAAAAAGGGCATAACTTTTTAAAACCTATCTCTTCTCGACCTTTTTCCCCTGTAGACTGGGGGAGGGTAGGTGCGGGTGATATGGGGGGGTGGGGGTGAAATCGCAATTGGAGGCAGTCACTATCACGGGGTTCAGAGTAGGGGTACTAGTGACTTGAAAATCACCTTGAAAGTGTAGGGTGGGTGGTGTAGGAGTGTAGGGTTTGATTGTGGTAGTGTGGAGTTGCGCTGGAATTAGAAATTTTTAACAGTAGGGGGTGGGGTTCTAGAAAGGGTGGGGTGAAGGTGGGAAGAGAAGGGGGTCTGTGATCAACTATTGATTGTACCGGTGGTGTATAGGAGAATTCTGCTCTGATCAGGGTGGGTATATTTTAATTATTGAGCAGGTATGCCTGAAAGTGGCAGATCCTCAAGTGGGGCAGTGAGAGTTTATTCACCGACGAGGGGTGGGTAGTAATTGGTAAAACATGGGGTGGTAATATGATGGATGGGTTCAAAGGGAGCCATTCGAAAAGGGGTGGGGTAGTTGCCTAGACGACAGGATGATGAGACTTTAGGGGTCGCATGAGGTGGTGCGGGGGGTCATGATTCTCATTAGGGACTCCCAGGGGTGGGGTATTGTATAAAATCCTTTTAGAATGCAAGGGGTACAAGAGCTTGGTATGGGTACTGGGGTGGGTCCGATATGGTAAAGGTGGCACAGCGTGACATGAACACTACGGGGTACTTTTAGGACGGAGTAGGGTAGGGTACTGCGGATGGTCCTGTCTTGGGGTACTGGAGTGAGGAAACTGTGTTGCTAGGGGTAGGGGGTAGCCGTAGACCAGGGGTAGGAATACAGTGGGGGTGGGGTGGAAACCATCAGGCGAACTAAATGGGGCAGCGAGGGATCGAACATGGCGGGAGGGGAGGCAGGAGGGGCAAAGGAGGAGATAGAGGGAAAGTGACATAGGCAGGAGGAAACAAGTACTTCGATCGAGAGGATCGTAGAAGGTTCTAATCTTTGTGATGATATTCTAGAGCATTTTCTCCAGAGGATGGAATTGCTTTTTGAGAACGAAAACTTCCAGGGATCTTGATAGGGAGGGATCATACGTTGAGTGAATCAATGAAGAGGTGCGGTATATCTTCGCAATGATATCATCATGTATGATAGATGACTTGCACAATTCGCAACATAGGGGAAGTCCAAGAGAGTCATCAGGCACGTTTTGGCCCATGAATTCAACTTTCCCGGCAGCAACCTAGTATTCCAGAGTTTAATTTGTGTGCAACCTTGAAAATCAGCACCGTATGCTTGAGGGTAGAAGCATTAGGGCCCTGGCTCTGTGAACAAAGGAAGTCTATGCATAGATGATGATTTTATACGGGTGAATCAGGCAGGTCAAAGTTCCTCTGTCCAAAGATTTTCCCCTGTTCATGACATCCTTGACCTGAACCCAAGAGAAAATTCGCGATTGCTAGATGTGCATGTATGATACGGAGCACTGATGATTGTTTGGCTCAGGTGCGAAGGTTGGTTATATCAGATTTGAGAAGTTTCGAGTTGTGCCGGAAAGGGGTGATACAAGGCTGTCGCTGGGAGCTTGATCAGGTTCAACTGCAATGCGCTGATGACGACCACGGAGTGAGAGATGGTCTAGGGGCATCGGGTAGGGAGATCTCTTCACCATGGATCCTTCTACGCCCTCCCAGCTGGACCAACCGGGGATGCGGGGAAGGTGCGAGGGAGTTGTGTAAGGGGGTTTGATGGTTGACCGGGGGTCTAGCATTGGCAGTGCTCTCCTTCAGAACGTCAGGATAAATCGCTTCACTGTCGGCGATCAAGGTGCAATCCTCTCCTCCTCATGGTCCTTCCAGCTGACTGCCAGCGCGCGCAGAGTTTGAGTTGCCCGACAAGTACATCTTCGAAAGGGATCTTGGGAAGGGAGCTTATGGGTTTGTCTGCTGCTGCCGGGTGATGTTCTAGTTTACAGCAGGAGGGGGATATGCTGAACGGCGATGACGCTGCAGGTTCAAGAATCAGGAGAACAGGTCGCTGTGAAGAAAGTCAAGATTCTGGACGAAATTACAGAAGCCCGGAGGTACAACCTGATTGCTACAGCCTGCTAGGTCTGATGACAGACTTGATACACAGAGTCTTCCGAGAGATAAAGATTCTCAGGAACCTAAGTCACGTCAACGTGCTCGCAATCTCAGAAATTTTTGCCGTGAGTTCCTCTACGAGAGAGCTGACGGAATCTCTGAATCTGCCGCAGCCCATGTGTTATGAGGACTTCACTGCTGTATTCATTGTTACCGATTTTTATCCTGCGGACTTGTCTCAGGCACTGATTCCTTGTATTCCCCCTTCCATTGCTTACCGATCATGGTCCACTGCAGATCATTAGGTCACCCCAGCAACTCACTGACGTGCACGTTCAAACGTTCATGTACCAGCTGCTCAGGTGGACCAGCGGTCGGGAGGGTTCAGAGCAGAGTTGGTGACTTTTGAGGGCAGGGGATTGAAGTATATCCACAGTGCAAATGTATTGCACAGAGATCTGAAACCCAACAATATTTTGGTGACGCCGACGAATCCCCGTTTCCTTGCACATTGCCCGCTCCCTCTTCCTTGTTCCTCCCCACCTTACCCGAGTCTCCTTCCCCTCTCCAATCCTCCCTTCTCCCTTCTCCCTTCTCCCTTCTCCTTTTTTATCCCTTCTCCCTTCTCCTTTTTTATCCCTCCTCCCTTTCCTTTCTCTCTATCCCCTATACTATTTCCGTCTCCCCCTCGCTTTCCCCGTCCTCCTCCCCCTTTCTCCTCCCTTGTCCATAGGACTTTCTTGTGATTGCCCGTCAGGTCAATCGTGATTGCGATCTTGCCATCTGTGACTTTGGCCTCGCGCGCATGACGAGTGAGTGGAGCCTCGAGTGAGGCAGCAGGGGGGATGTCACTCATGGCAACTACGCAGACGAGTCGGACATGGACAAGGAAATGACTCAATACGTCGTTACAAGGTGATGGAGAGGGGGGTGATGGAGAGGAGGAGCAGGAGGGGAAGAGGAGGAGCAGGAGGTGAAGAAGAGAAGGAGGGACAGGGACAAGATAGAAGGGGGGGGGGGGGGAGGGCGGGAGAGTGGAGGAGGAGGAGGAGGAGGAGAGTTTGCGCAGCTCACGGACTTGAAGATGGTATCGCGCGCCCGAGCTGATCATGCTGGCCAAGGACTACACTTCTGCCATCGACATCTGGTCAGCAGGTTGAAATCGCTTCTCTCCTGCTCCATGGCCCCGGTGATGTTGAAGACCGCAGGATGTATCATGGCAGAGCTTCTTTCACGACGGCCTCTCTTCCCCGGGGCTGACTACGTGAAGCAGCTAGAGGTGCGAGAAGGAAGGCAGGGAGGAAGGGGGAGAGGGAGAGGGAGAGGGAGAGGGAGAGGAAGAAGAAGTTGAAGAGATGGGGGAGGAGGAGGAGGACTGAAACGTGTGATGCAGTACATCATCAACTATCTTGGGACGCCGACAAAAGAAGATTTAGAAGCAACATCAGGCAACGAGCGCGCGTCCAAGGTGATGAAGGACTGGAACAGGGCGGAGGAAGGGCAAGGGTTTGAGGGAGGGAACAGAGGTAGAGAGGGAGAAAAAGGAGAGAGAAGCGAGGAGCGAGGAGCAGAAAGAATGAGGAAGGAGAAGATTTCTAGTCGCCGTGAACTGACAGTCTGTTGTCAGTATGCTGCTTCTCTGGGCAATGGACAAAATAACGCGATCCCGCATTACTTTCAACACTGCAACCCCATGGTAAAATGCCCGAGTGAGAGGCAGGGAGCAAGTGTAGTGGGGAGGGAGGAGGTAGTGGGGAGGGAGGAGGAACGAGCAGAGGGGGAGGAGGAGAGGAAGAGCAGGGGAGGGGAGGGAGGTAGGGGAGAGGAAGGTAGGGGAGAGGAGGGAAAGGGAGTGAGGTAGGGAGGATGGGGAGAAGGGAGGGAAGGAAGAGGAGGAGGAGGATAGGCAAAGGGGAGCTGAAGAGGAGAGTGTTGCTGCTGACGAGACGGTCAGGCTGTCGACCTTCTTTGCAAGATGCTCACCTTCAATCCCAAGTGAGTTGACGTGAAGCTGAGGGGAACGAGAGATAGAGAGCGAGGAAGAGGGGAGAACAGCGGGGAGGAAGTAAAGGGATTTGTAAGGAAAGGAGGGGGGGGAGGGGAAGAAGGGAGACGAGGGCGAGGAGAGAGGGAGGGAAGGAAGAGGAGGGAGGACAAGGAGAAGGGAAGAGGGGGAAGTGAGAGGAGGGAAGAAGTCAATCTGACAGCCTGTGGTCTGCAGGAACCGCATCACGGCAGTGGATGCGCTGGAGCATCCGTACCTGAGTGAAGTCAGAGACCGCGGGAACGAGCCGGTCGCCTCCTCCCCTCTCAACGTGCAGGAGTTCGAGGTGAGGGCAGAGGTAGAGCCCTGCTGGGGTTGATGCTGGTGGGGCAGGAAGTGGAGAAGTCGGACATCTCATACGAGCAAGTGAAGAGGATGATATGGGAGGAAGTGCAAAGATTCCACGATCAGCAGCGAAGACAATCCCAGGAGGCGGCGGCAATGCAGGTGAATATGGTGAACATGGAGGAGGAGGAGGAAGGGGGGGGGGGGCGGGAGGGATAGAGTTGGAGATGATGACGATAATGAGGTTAATTATGATGATGATGAGGAGGAGGGGGGGGTTGGTGGTGATATAGACGATAGTGATCGCGATGAGGATGATGTGGTTGATATGGATGGTTTGTCCCCTGCTCTTCTGTTTATCCAGATGACTCGTCTGAAAATCATTGCAGGCTTTCAAGGTGCAGCAGATGATTGCGGGAGAAGAAACGATGTCGGTGGACTAGAACTTGTTGCT